TTAGATGATTCTTGAATCCCTATTAGGTGTAATGAAAGTCTTGTGGGTTCGCTGCAGTGCTCCAAAAACAATAGAAATTTTGAATTTTTTTTTGGTTTACGCTAAATACTTTTAGAGCAACATAAATAAAAAATGGTTATATTAAATCTTAAACAACTTAAAATTATCCAACACTTTTGAACATAACATTTTTTCTAAATCCAACAGAAAGCGAACTACAGAGCATTCTAATTGGGTAAAGTTAAAAAAAGAAAGAAAAATTGACAATTCAATTATTGTATTAATATTTGTATGTTAATACAATCATTATAGCACTATAACTATGCCATTTATGAGTACTTAATGATGTGGCACAGGATCCTAGACGCCTAAGCGATTGCCGCTTTTCCGCCGATTACGTGTATTTTGTAAGTAACTGATTCAAACATTTTAAAAAATAATAAGTTTTTTTTTTTAATATTTCCTTATTGAGATTTATTATAATTTGTCACATTCAAGGACAATGGTAATCGTGATAAAAAGTAGTTCATTCATACTATGCACAATAAATAAAAATATAAACAGCAATAAAATAATACTAAACGTAAATGTATATAAACTAAAAGATACTAAACTAAACAAAAATATACTAATCTAACAAAATAAATACTTAAAAACATACATTCATAAGTTTTTTTTAGAAATAAAATAAATTCTCCAGATGTTTTGTCTTGAAACGTTTTTCGTTATTTTTGAACGTTTATTTACAAAAGACGATTGATTTTCCAATTTAGTTGGAATGAATTGAAAAACTTTAATTTACTAGTGTTTTTTATTACCAAGGAAAATTATTTTTTCATGTTTTATTATTCTCTAACCATCCAGCTTTAATAAAAGTCCAATTATGACGAAATTAAGCCAAATGCTGAATCACAGTGACCGAAAAATTCAAGTCAAAGTACCTACTTTTTTTATGGGGACAATGGCTTTTTTTTAAAATAAATAGTTACAAGGAATACAACTATATGCAATTTACTTGGGGGGAAGGTTCACGGTAGGAGATCTGACCCACCGTGTTACATACTTTTCAAAATACTTCCCGACTACCGCCTATCGTTCCAGTCAATGGCTCATTATCTTTAAGAAAAACCTCCGAATTCTCTGAACTAGATTCAAAATGGAGTCACAGAATTCTGCCGTTAAAAATTGAAAGAGCACTTTTGTGAAGAAATCGAAATGGGTAAATTTCGAAAACTTCGATAGTTTGTTTCCTGTTGGGTTCAGAAAAAAAATGTAATGTACAAAAATGTTAGTTTTTTTAAGATTGAATATAACTATTTTTTATCTATGTTGCTCTAAAAAGGAGATATTTAGCGTAAACAAAAAAAACTTCGAAATTTCAATGGTTTTTGCAGAACTGCAGCGGATTGACAAGGATTTCAAGGCCGGAAACTTGGATATTTTATAATGATGTAGAGATGGTTGACCGTGATATGATATGAGAAGGAGTTGATCGGGGGGTGCGGTCAAATAAATACTAAATTATACAAATAGTATTAAATTAAAAATTAAATAATAAATAATTAAAAATTAAATAGTTTAATTAAAATAGTATTAAATTAAATAATATTATCTGTATAATTTAGTATTTATTTGACCGCACCCCCCCCCCCTCCGATCAACTCCTCATTGGATATTTTATGTTCACTGCGTACCTAACAATATAAATAAGAAATTTGAATTGCCCGACCTTTAGCAAGGCAACATCTCTAATTTGACTGGGCTATTAACCATTTCCATTTTATTTATTTATTTCTTAAATAAATAAAATATAAATTAGGTTAATTGTAATTAAAGCTTTCGATATCATGTGTTTTTCTTTAATCACGCAAAATAACAGGTTACTATTAAAAAATAAATGGCGGGACTAATCTGCAAAAGACCAATCAAATTGGAGCTTGTTAAAAAATTGTCTTTGTTTAAAAAAAAAAAACTTTATAGTAGTCATTCCAAGGATTTGTGTTTTCGCCCCATCTTCATGATTAAAGTGCAAATTTTTAATCGAAATTAGTACAAGTGATTTGATAAAACTCCAAATAGTTCTATAGTTTTTAATATTGAAACTGTTCCAGTTACTCAGTTTTATACAACAGTTAATTACTGACTCGTATGACAAAACAAAAGTATATACGGATGCTAAAACAACAATTAATTGTTTTACGAAATTATTTCTATTATTTGAAATAAAAAGTTTTCAATATAGTCCCCAAGCGATGGAGTGACTACTATAAAGTTATTTTAAATATAAAAAACTAGTTAACAAGGACAATTATTTTGCTATTTAAGACGGTAAATCGTTTATCTTAATCTTTTGTAAGGTCATTTTTTATGTATATTTAGTTTAAATTAAATAAGTTTTTTTCAGGAGGGATTTGTCATTGTTCATTGACAACGTAAAATGGACAAAACAAATTTATATTGTTTTTTTATTAAAAATAAAAATTGTGATAGTTGGAAAAGAGGTATTTGTTCATAAAAATATTTTAAAAGGTTAATATAGATTTATTTTAAAAAGTAATATTTTATGTAAAGATATGTAAAACTATTCCAGATATACTGTGGATGGCCTAAGGCCGAAACGTACATATAAATTAAAATTATAATATAATAAAAAAATGTAAAACGGGAGGTTAAAGATCTCTTCAATGATATAGTATCTTTTAGGTAATGTAAATAAAAAGAGTTGGCACGATAGAAAGACGTAAGTAAAGTATACATTTTAAACTAAAACTGAAATTATTGGAATCAGAAAAAAATAATTAAATTATATAAACAGAACATTTCCAAAAAAAACCCACAAAATTATCGGTGGAAAATTGTTAATCTTACATATTTAAAGTTTATAAACAACTTATTTTATCAATTATCATAGTGAATTTTAAATATTCATTTACATCAGAATAGATACCTTGTATGTATATTTATAACTCTTTATAACTTTAAATAATTACCAATTGATGAGTAAGACCTCTAATTAATATTTTTTTAACTAAGATTTTCTCATTAAATAATCATCTATGGAACAACCGATCACTAATGAAACCATTAGAAATTACATTTTTACAGAAGGAAGTATAAAATTTTTTCCATTGAACAAAACGAGATTTTACTCAAATTCAAGGCAAATCAAATGAAAAGAAAAAAAAATGCTATAAAATAATGCTGATAAAATACGCACACTGATTGGTCGTTGTGTTTTACTTAAAAACGATTTAAATTGAATTCTATTTTCCATTCGCAAAACAATTTTTATAAATTAATAAATAAAAATAAATAAAATGAATATTATTTAGGAAGGTAAACAGATAATACATTACTTATTTTCAGTAAGAGATTGGATAGGCTTTCAAAAATTCAAATAAGTATATTTCAAATTATTTATTATTTAGTTTTTATTATTATTCGTTTGTTACAAAGTTTTTTTTCATGTTGGAAAATTTTATTAGTAATTACTTATTACCATGAACGGTGATAGTAAATAATAATTTAAAATAATATAAAAAAAAAATTGCAAAAATAGTAACCAAAAAAATGTTTATTTAGAGGTTCTTGTTTATTTCCTCGAATGTGTATTTGTTAGAGTTCTGTTTTTAAAAATTCACAGTAAATTATAAATTTCAGTCAAATGAATTAAAAACATATTAGAGTATGCATCTATTGAAATTAACGGATGGCTAAAATATTGTTAATTGTGAGTTTATTTATGTTAATTTATATGTAATTGTATTTATTTATTTATTATGAAACACAGTGTATTCATTCCGAGTCTTTACAAATATAAGAAACCGTTTATTTGGAATTTAAAGGGGACCCCATAGAATTCTTAATATAGAGCTGTTTTTTTTTTGTTTTTGTTTTTTTGCAGTGTCATTAAAAACCAACTTAATTTAAAATATACTTAAAAAGGTTTACTTTTAGGAAAATCAAATTGGCATAGAAATCATTAACTCTAAAAGGCAATGGCAGAGACATACACTTTTTTTTTATCTACCGTAGAACATAAAAAAAATTGTTTTTACTTAAATGTATCTATTATCATAAAGTTCTTGTTAGTTTTTGGACAAAGCAAAAACTTAATAATTTATACTTTTGATAAATATTTAATCTTATAAATAAATATAATAAAACATAATAGAATTAATTTAAGTTTGTTAGATAAGTTTTAGTAAAATATAAATTTGTCATAATTTTACAAAAGTAATATATATATATTAATATGTAATATAATAAAAGAATATTATATTATAGTATCAGAAATTTAATATAAATTTAAAACTGTATAAATATACCAAATATATTAATATATTTATATTTGTCATAATAATAATAATAATATTTTAATCATTGTAACATGTTTGTAACCTATGACAAGAGCGACATGATATTTTCACAAACATGTCCAATGATTAATTTAATAACAAAATAAATTCCAAATTTAATATAAAATATAGAAAAGGAACAGCATTTTTCACATTCGTGTACAACTTTTGAATGTGTCGTTCGTTTTCTTTCACAATGAAAAATAAACAAACTTAATTTTTTTTCTGTTTAGAAATTCGAAATACTGAATGTTTACACTTAAATTCTTTTCCCGAATTAAACATGCCTTTATTGACAAATGTATTGTCACAATTGAGGGCATTATTAATCGTTTAAAAAATAAATATTGAGAAAAGTCATGCAAAAAAAGTTTTTCAGAGTTAATTTTAATGAGTAATTGAATATGAATTAAAATTTGAAAAATATATGCTATATTTTTATATAATAAAAAAATAAATGTAAAAATTCATTTTATAAACTTTTATATAAGAATATTTTTAAATATATATGTTATATTTGTGTATATATGTTATAGACAGTAAATTAATCTTATAATAGATAATTCAATTTTTTTGTTTATAATAACGCTGTGACATACAAAAATAAATAAACAATATCTATAGGAGAAAAATATAACTCACCCAAGAACACCAACCGGGTCCTAGTCGACAACTGAAGACACAAGGCATCCCCTCTACCCTCAGTCCCTACTCCAACCATTAATTAGTTCCAAGTATCAGTTAACTCCGTCATCCTTAATTTCAGGATTTGAATAAATACATATATTGTGTATATATATATATATATATATATATATATATATATATATATATATATATATATATATTACATAATATTATATTATACATATATCTTCTTAAGTTTTACCGATACCGATGTATAATTATAAATATAATTGCCTAAATGCACTTTTTATTAATAAGCATTTTTTTGAAATAATAATTTTTCAAATATTTTTCATGTGAAGTTGTTACGAAACTTTATTTTTCACCCAGATCTCTATTATGGGAATTAATCCATATTTATAAGTGACATAATAAATATTTTTAGCCATAAAATGTACGTTTTAAATAGTGTTGCCCAAAATCGGTCTTGGTCTAAATGCAAAACCAAGACCAAGGCCGCCTAATTGTTGCAAGACCAAGACCAGGAGTGGTAATAAAAAAAATCGATTTTTTTGATAAAAATTAAGGCAAAATAGTTACTAATACTCGACAATTTTAGTTACTATGTGTTAATAATTGGTATAACCAATATACTTTTGCATTTAACTCCAATATTTTTTCATTCGGGCTTAATTAGGATTCTTCTATCTAAAAAATTACAGTAATATCTCTGGAGTAATAAGTGACTGCAAGACTGTTTGCGAGACTCTTGCGCAAGACCAAGACCATGACCAAGACTGAGTTTGCAAGACCAAGACTAGTTTCGGTCTTGCATTTCGGCAACACTAGTTTAAAATAAAGAAACCTGCTAATTGCTTCAATTATTTTCATGAAAACGTAAATATTAGCATTAGGAACATTTAGTTGCTGACTTATATATATACGAATCAATTCACTGTTTCAACAGTGATCAATCGAGATTTGGTTGACAGTTTCATAACCACTTTACCTCAAAAATATTTGAAAAAATAATATTTTAAACAAAATATATAAATAAAAAGTGTGTTCAGGCAATTATGTTTATTATAATACATACCAGATCATGGAAAAACAAAAGATTTGTAGCAATTAAATACAGTCATTATAAATGAAAACATGGGTAATTTTACGTGACAGGATACAAACACATACAATGTTTTTAAAAAACTTCAGTTAATTCTCAAGTTTTTCTCCTTAATAAACCTTAACTAAATTAAAATGGACTTAAAGCTTTTTAAACGATTAAGGTTCACTAAAAGTGGAATATCTGTTGTATAAGTAGGATGATGATAAAAATAAAATTTATGATAAGTTCAAAAACAGAACTTAGCTTAGTTTAACCTCACAAATGTCCTCTTTAAATTGTTGTAACAATGACAAACTATTTTTGATTTTAAAGTGAATTTTGTCTCGTTTTGAGTGAAGTAATTGTTAATTACTTAAATTAAACATTTCTTTATGAATCGCTTCCTATTATTCCTATTATTATTATTATTATCCTTACCTAAAAATACACAAAGCATGTATTTCCTACTTTCCTGCTGAAAATTGGCTCATTTACTCATTACTAATTTGTTCATATGAACGTTTATATAGTTCGTGAGGTCTGCTATCATTCCTATAAAAATGCCCCTCTACTGTACATTTAAAGAGGGCTTTTGAGTGTCTACAATAAACTAAGTCCTATTAAAATAAAAACTATAAATTATTTGCGATATTTTTTATTTACCATCTACTTCTAACTTTACCATAGATACCCCACTTTTAGAAAAATTTCATCGTTTAATAAGCGGATTTCTATATTGATGAAGTTGAAAAATATTGGGAAAAAAGGTGAGTTTAACTTCAAGCTGTTCAATAAAATTATATGATTTTATATTTCACTGAGTTAAGCAAAAGTGACTGCAATAAATGATTATATATTATATATAAAATGTATCCGTGTTTGTCATTCGCCGTTACTTTCTAGAGATATTAATTTTATAATTTTTTTTTTTTCCTTAGCATTAGAGCAGTATATTATACATCTACTGTACTATCTTTATTTACAGAAATTTGTTTTTAACTTTGGAACATATTCATCCTTGTTTCGCCTACGGTGAATCATAAAACTCTTTCGTTGTTTATATTTATCCCGTTTTAATTACCACTAACAATGAGAGAGGTTAGTTATTCCAAAGAAACAAAATTAAACATAAAAATCAAAGTTTCAGTTAATTGTTTAGATAAAGTTAGTTTTTTTCCAAAATATATAGCCATGAGTCTCAAACATATAGGCGACATTTAACTTGGCAACAATTCCACAATTTAGGCGAAAAAAACATCAAGGCAGAAAAAACTAGATCCCGTATATACAGAAAGATAGAAAAGAGAGGGAGAAAAAAAACATGCTATTAAAATCTCATATAGCCTGCCATCCAAATACATAATAAAGGAAACATAAGAGGAAGTTTTTTAAAACAGCTGATTTGGAGGGATAAAGAAATATATATATTCATACTTAAAATATAATAATACATACATTTGTTTAATAAAATTAAATAAAAAAAGAACAAATTAATAAATACAAATAAATAAATAAATAAATATATATATATATATATATATATATATATATATATATTTATAGTATATAACATCCATACCCCTCAAACGTTGTGGAAAAATAACTACTCCACAAATATTATTACTATAAATATGCAACAGCTCGAAATGAGACATTAAATAAAATACAGAAATAAAATTCGACATTCCCCCTCCATATCCACATTCAAATCCTCCTATTCCAATTCCTATCACAAAAACAGTCAGATACTTGCTAAACTTTCGATATTATACATTTCTAGTAATCATCAAACGATAGTACTATTCTATACTGTGAACTTCACTAGGGATATTTCAATATCTTCCTGCTTTTAATGCCACTGATCACATCTATTGTTTGTTTGTTTTTTTTATTATTTTTTATTCGTATATAATTAAATCTGTACCTATAGCTAGCATTTTACAATGATGAGTCTACATATTAATCATTATTTAAATACACTGATATTTTATATTGTCAGCTTTGTCTTTTCTTTGTTAGCAGAAACACACCTCATTTTAAAGAAGAACTCAATGTATTTTTTATTATTTTATTTTTCAAAAGAGTATAATTATAATTTTTCCTACTGTACATAGTCTTAAGTGTTTTATCATAGTTTTAAGTGTTTTGTATATAGATTTTTTTTTTTGTATATAGCTTGTTTAACTAATATTTTCTTTACTTTCTCTTTTTTATTATTGTTTTATTTTGGCCAGATGTAGTATTTTAATTATGTTCTATTTTGTTATTCTAAAGGGACTTTGTCCCAGAATAAAGTTATTTTCTATTTCTTTTTTTTCTATAAATGGAACAATCCAAACTACAAAGTCACGATTCCCGAACATACAGGTGGACAGTTAACTTGTAAATTCGTGGGGTAGTCATTTTTCCATTACGTTTTGTGGAGTATGGATGTTATATACGCTATCGAGCTTTATATATATTTTCATTATTTTTTTTTTATTATTAATTTACTATATTTGTTCTTTTTTATTTAATTGTATTAACACATTTTTGTATTATTATATATTAATTATGAAGATACATATATTGTTTCTGCTGATCAACTTTTTTATGTAACCTTCATCTCCTTTAGTATGTACTTGGATGGGTTGTGGAAATGAAAATTGCAATCTTTTTTTTTTTTTTTTTTGTTTTCTCTTTCTTTCTTTTTGCATATATGTGCAGGAGTGCCCAATGTGATGGGATTTTTGAGGATGGCACATTTTAACGTGCTTATGAATTTTCGGAATGAAAATTCAAAGCAGCAAGCATATTTGTGTATGATTTACGATTTTTCTAAATTCTGCTTCCCCTTGCTATGTTTTTAAGAAAAGATGAGCAATAAAATATCTTGGTAGGAGGGGGAGGGGCTATAGGTTCGTGCACCATCGATCATGGGAGGTATGGGCACCCCTGTATATGTAATCTTGTTTTTTGTGCCTGATTTGGCGAAACATAAGCAAATTAATTATTCACCTATATGTTTGAGACTCATGGCTTTATACAATAGTTTGGATTCTTTCATTTATAATGTCTCATTTCGAGCTGTTTGCATATTTCATTTCTTTTTTTTTTTTTTATGACCAACATTTTTTTTCTAGTTAAATACCAGTCAGCATGATTAACTGTACACTCAATGTTTTTTGTTTTTTTCATTTTAAGAGAAAACCTAGCAAACTTAAGTGTATACCATCACAATAACATTCTGGGGTCAAGCGACATATAACAAGGGTCGGTCCCATTTTCTGAACACGTGCTCTGCAGGCTCCAATGTCAGTTGTACTTGAAACAAACCTCGGCTGAAACTGGAAGGCTCCGTAAATAACTCGAATCCGAATAATATATTAATGTTGATATTTTAAATAACGAAAACGTCAATCAAATAAAAAATCTTGACTTGATTTTGGCAAGATCGGGCCTCATGTATTTCTCTTTTATAAAATAGATGGGCGATATATAGTCAGGACGCAGTCATTATAAATCTTCTTTTATTTGTGCCAACGTTTCAACTCAAACATGTGGGTCTTCATCAGGACGTGGTTCGAGCACTGAAGGCTTTCAACTACTATTTTTTTACCGGACTATTTATCACCCATGATATGTAGAAAAGTCGATTAGATTCCTTCAATATAAAATGGATGGTTGAAAATTATCTAAGAGCTCTCAAACTATAGACGGTGGAAACGCGCCCCCTTCCCCAACGTTTGAAATGGTTTCAGTCGTCTCCACCAGTATTTTAAATGATCCTGTATACTTATGGTCTCGTACAATAGCGGATCTAGGATTTAATTTTAGGAGGCTACAACCCAAAAGCTTTGTATATATATAAACATGTGTATATATAAAATGATAATTACATTAAAAGAAATAAACTAACTGTCTACATGAAATTATGTTTAGGTGATACTTGAATTGAAGCTCCCTAAAATAGAAAAAAAAAAATCTGGTGAGGGCAACACACACACAACTTTCACTTACCGCTAAACTTTGAATAGAAATAATGTTTGGCCATATCGGGCTATTATAAAATTTTTGAATTGGACTTTTAACTGAGCTGAAGCTAAAAAAGTTGCCGTCACATCTAAGGCATATACCTATCTTAATTACGTAATATCAGTTTCGTAGGACTTTTCGTTTTTGAGCCAGACTGTTAACATACAAACACACAGACCATTTTTCAGGACTTGGTCATTTCGACTCAGGGTACCTCAAAACGTCTATTTCCGTTGAAAACTCAGATTCAAAAATTTTCTTGATCGCAATACTTACCCTTACTATATATTACGTATATACGTAAGTGAAAGTAAAAATTACAGCTAACAAATCATAAATACCATTAAAATAACCAATACCCTATTTATTATATCACCGGTTGATTATGGATTGTACGATCCGTTGATCATGTATTGCACGATCAATTGATTATGGATTGTAATAAAATTATTAAACTACAGTAAATATATTTAAGGTTATAAACTTATGCATGAAATGATTTTATATTTTACTTCTTCTTTCACACAAGTACAATGAAATAGTTATTTAAACAATGTCATTGCCTTTATTAGGTGGATCTTAAATATTTCTTTCAAACTTAAAAATATTTTAAAAGGTTGCATTTAGTTAATAAATTTCATTTAATTTCCTTGAAAACATGTGATTTACGTTAAATATTATTAGTTTTCAAAAAATATTATTTATAATTTTTTTGCCAATCTCCGTTTCCTTTTACAACTTTCTATATTCGATATTGTTTTTTCTAAAATTCTCCGCTTTCCAACGATATATTATACGTATATCTTCGGACTAGTATTTCCAGAGATTCATTTTCGACCTGGATAGGCATTTTTATTTTTTTCTCCTTTATTCAATTATCAAATTCTTTCAAAAGTTATATTTAGCATTTTTTCATAACTTTTAATAATGAGAGATAATTGATTATTTAAAATAAACCATATTAAAGGTACTTTAGAGGAAGATGCATATGAACATTGGGCATTTAAGCCTGTAAAGTGACATCAACGGGGATAAGACCTAAATGATATTAAATAACACTTAATTATACAATGATACACTGAGTTTAATCAAAATCGTTAGAGCCATTTTTGAGAAAATTTTAAAAATGTGTTTCAGCGTTCATATAAAGTGGCACTTCGGTTAGCCGATTTTAACGAAAAGTTACTGTCACATCCGGCCCATATACAAACCTTAAATACTTAATATCAGTTTCGTACTACTTTTCGTTTATGAGCTAGACTGTTTACACAGACCATTTTGCGACACTTGATTATTTGGACTCAGGGGACCTCAAAACACGTATTTCCGTTGAAAACTGAGATTCGAAAATTTTCACGATCGCAATACTTACACTTACTATATATTTCATATATACGTAAGTGAAAGTAAAAAGTAATACTTTTAGATATATTTTTTTCATAAGACATTTACAATATTTAGTAGTTATATTTGCATTATAATTATAAAATAGAACTAGAAAAATAAAAAATTAGTTCGTAAAGTAATGCATTTTTATTACCTCGAAGAGGGGTAAATAAAATTAAGTAATTAGTATTAGTTTTAATAAGTATTCATTTTAAAGGAAGGAAATGGTCCGGGGTGGCGGTCATAAATAGGCTAAATAGTGGCAAAATTATTTTATTAAAAGCCAACGTTTCGACCCGACTTAGCAGGTCTTCTTCAGGAAGGTGTGTTCAGCTACTGAAACGTTGGCTTTTAATAAAATAGTTTTGCCACTATTTAGCCTATTTATGAACGCCATCCCGGACCATCTCCTTCCTTTATAATGCAACGGTCAAATATTAAATATTCAGTGTTAATTTTAATTCGGATTGTAATAGCTAAAACAGGGATGCCCATCTCCCCCAAAGCCGGTGGACCATAAACCTCCTCCCACGCCTCACAGGATATATATATATATATGGGAAATTAGCTACTATAGAGTGATCTAAGTTAAATACTTATAATATATATATATATATATATATATATATATATATATTATAAGTATTTAACTTAGATCACTCTACAGTAGCTAATTTCCCACCATTGAAAAAAAAAAAATGTCATTTTCCCAGTTTGGGGGCCTTCAGCTCGAAACCATATCAGCTCTCCATATCCTCCCCAGGAGACCCGTCAGTGGTCCCGTAGGAGAATAAAATAACTTGATATCTTACAAATTCGTACAACCAAATGCACACGAGTAGTAATGTTACATTGTGCTTATGGTCTTCGAAAAGCGACAGTCGCCCTCCTAATTGTTTCAGATCTTCCTTAAATGGCCGTAATTTTTTAAAAATATT